GGGGGGGGGGGGGGTTGGAGTGGTCTGAGGTCAGGGCTGGGAGCTGTGGGTGCGTTTTGCAGACTGGGGCGGCGGCGATTGGGCGTTTTGGTGGGTTTGATCAAAGGCCGGGGCAATCTAGGTGAACAGGTTGATGAGGCCGTCGGCACCCGCGGAGAAGATCCAGGGCTGGGTAGGGTGGAAGGTGATGTCGATGACACCGATAGAGTCGACGACCTTGTGGCCGGCGAGGATCTTGACGGGGACAATGAGCGGTGAGGAGAGCATGTCGGCGTAGACGCGGCCATGGAAGACCTGGATGGTGTTGTCGTCGGAGCAGGTGGCGAAGAGCGGGTAGCGCGGCGAGTAGGCGACGGAGCGGACGGCGAGCTTGTGGTACTTGAAGGTCTTGTACGGACGCGACGAGTAGTCGAGGTCGTACCACATGGCAAACTTGTCGAAGGAGCCGACGAGGACATTGTCGCCGCCGGGGTGGATGACCATGTCGGAGATGTACGAGCCAGTGACCTTGAGGCGGCGGATGAGCTTCTGCTGGGTGAGGTTGTAAACGCGGATCTCGGAGTGGGTGGCCACAAACAGGAGCGGCTTGGACGGGTGCCAGCGGATGCGCTGGACAAAGCCGCCGCGGCCGGCAAACGGAGTCAGCGAGCGCTTGCTCGAGACTTGGTGGATAAAGACGGCATTGCGGCCCGCGGCCTTGGGCGAGACCGAGGCGAGATAGTCGCCCTTGGCGTGCCAGGCGAGCGAGAGAACGGGCGACGGCATGGCAATGCGGAGGAAGACGCCCTGCTTGACCTTGCGGGCCGAAGTCTGCTCCCAGCGGGCGGTCTTAAGGCGGTCGTGGCCGGCCTTGGGCACCTGGTGTGCATCCTGGTCGCGGACCGGCTTGAGATCGGCGTCTGCAGCCGGGCCCTTGCCGGACGCGCCGACGTCGTCATCGTCGAGCGGGGCGTCTTCGCCCGAGACCGACGACGAGGCCGTCGAGGCGTCGTCGTCGTCGTTGTCCGACTCGTCATCCGAGTCGCGCGCAGACTTGCGCTTCGGACGCTTGGTATGCTCAAACGTGCCCTCGACCTCGAGGTCGGCGAGGCCGCTCGAGAGCATGGCCATGGTGTCGGCGCGGAGGGCGGGCGAGGCAATGTCAAGCGGGGCGATGATGTAGATGGCCGAGCCGGTGGTGACGGCGGCGAGGCAAGCGCGGGTTGCGGCGGCGGGCGACCACTCGACGCAGTACACGACGGTCTCGCCGGCAAACGACCACTTGCGAAGGCAGCGGCCGGTGGCGACCTCCCAGAGGCGAACCGAGCCGTCGTTGGAGCCAGAGAGCAGGTACTGGCCGGACGGGTGGACCGAGATGGAGCGGACCTTCGAGGTGTGGCCGCGGAAGGTGAGCGAGAGGCGGGTGGGGAACGGGCGGAGCTCGCGCGGGTCCGGAACCTTGGGCAGGAGCTTGGCGATACGGACGCGGCTGTTGACCTTGCGCGAGCGCGGGCAGAAGGTGAGATCGAGGCAGCGCTCGTAGCGCTCGCGGTAAAAGTCCTTGTACGCCGGCACGTGGCGAAGTGCGCTGTACTTTTGCGGCTTGAGCGAGCGCATGCCGTGCGGCATGGCCTTTGACGAGGCCTTGCCCTCCTCGTCAAACACGTACTCGGCCGGCGGGTTGTATGACTCGGCGTTGGTGGGCAGCTGCATCTTGGGCGCCGAGAGCTGGTTGAGCGTCCGCAGGGACTGGTTGGCATCCTCGTCGGCCCAGGCGTCAAAGACCTCGGGCGCCTTGACCTCGTTCTTGGGCTTGACCCGGCCAGAGCGGATCTTGCGGACCATCTTGGCGACCTTGCGCGCCTCCCACTTGGAAGGCACAAAGGCGGCCTTGTTGGGCATCTTGTTGTAGACCGGGTGCATCATCTTGTGGCGCGAGAAGAACGGCTCCCAGTCCTCGTACGGGTCAAACGACATGTCGCCGAACTGGCCCTTCTGCATCCTGCGCAGCATCTCCATCTCCTTCACGCTCAGCGTGATGTTCTGCTGGGTGGCATCGTCGTACACACGGCGCCAGTACTCGGGATCGTCGGTCCGTGCAATGTAGTCGTCGATGGTGTCCATGCCCGAGCCGGTCTTGGCAATCGGCTTGCCGTCGAGATCGTACCCGAGGTGGTCGTACTCGTCGTACCACTCGAGCGGGATCTTGCCGAGCGTGTTGCGCGAGTGCATGTCGTCGTCCGACTCGTCGTCTGAGCTCTCCGCCACAATGCCTGCCGACGACTTGTCGCGCTTGCTCAAAAAGTTCAGCTGCTTCTCGCTGGCGTACGTCTCCACAGGCGCGCCGTAGTCGAGCGCAGACCGGTAGCCGGCCCGCGTGCGCTCGCGCAGCGCCCGCAAGAACATGTCGCCACCCGGCTTGAGCGCAGAGAGCGGCGCCGCAATCGCACCGGTCTTGGCAAACCGCGGCACGTCCTCCTCCTCGTCGCCAAGCACACCGCCGGTCATGCCCTCCAGGAAGTCCTCCTCGCCGCCCTCGTGGACCATGTCGTCAGAGCCCGAGCCCGAGCCCGAGCCGCTAGCCAGCTCGCCAGACACCTCGCCGTCGTCATCAATCTCAGTCCCCGTCGTCATCTTCCACTGTGCAAACGCGGCCGACTCGTCGTCCTCGGCAGGCTCCTCCTCCTCTGACGAGATCGAGCTGGCGCCCGACCGCTTGCGCTTGCTTGCGCCCTTACGGCCCTTACGGCCCTTGGGACCCTTGGGGCCCTTGGGGTCCTTGGCAGCCTTGCCCTTGGCGGCCTTGCCCTTGGCGGCCTTGCCCTTGGCGGCCTTGCCCTTGGCGGCGGGCTTGTTCTGGCCCTTGCCCTTGGCCGAGCCCTTGGCCTTGCCGGGCTTGTCACCGGGGCCTCCCGATGCCTTGTCGCCGGAACGCTTGCGCTTCTTCACCATTTCACTACACGCCGTGTCTGCAAGGGTGGTAGCGGGACAGTGAGTGTGGTGACGGAGTGTGGGTAGCAGGGGAAGGACGGGGACGTGGGGGATGGCTCGTCATCATCCCCGCAGGATGAGAGACGCCCAGGCGGCCTTGCCCTTTGCGGCCTTGCCCTTTGCGGCCTTGCCCTTTGCGGCCTTGCCCTTGGCGGCCTTGCCCTTGGCGGCGGGCTTGTTCTGGCCCTTGCCCTTGGCCGAGCCCTTGGCCTTGCCGGGCTTGTCACCGGGGCCTCCCGATGCCTTGTCGCCGGAACGCTTGCGCTTCTTCACCATTTCACTACACGCCGTGTCTGCAAGGGTGGTAGCGGGACAGTGAGTGTGGTGACGGAGTGTGGGTAGCAGGGGAAGGACGGGGAGGTGGGGGGATGGCTCGTCATCATCCCCGCAGGATGAGAGACGCCCAGGCGGATAGGTCGGCCAGCCAGGGTGGGGCGGCCGTGGAGGGGGAAGTAAAGTAGCATGAGGCAGGAACACCCATGCAGTGGTATGTGTAAGGGGACGGTATGGGCTGTGTGTGGATAGGAGTGTATGTATGGCTGTCGTACCTTGGAGAGGAGTACCGTCACTCGGTCGACGGCTGTGGGCAATGATGGAGCCGCCGTCAAAAGCGGACTGAAGCCGGAACGATGTAGAGGCCCGATGGGGGGGGGGGGTACCTGACTTGGAGGCAGCCACCGAGTGAGAGACATCCGTGAGTATGGCGAGTAGTGCTGTGTGTGATGAGGGGCGGATGTTGGCTGTGGCTGCTGTGGCTGACCAGAGGCGGCGGATGGAGGTGGCGAGGAGGGTGCGTATGGGCAACCGCGAGGCGGTCGAGGACGTGTGAGGTGCATTGGTGCCGCACAGGCTGGCCGTCAAGCTTGTTGGTGTAGGGGCAGTCAGCATTGAGCGCGTTAAGCGGGGCACTCGAGAAGCCCAGTGTGGTCATGGCGGAGTGCTGGTCTCGCCGTAGCCGACGGAGAGGGGGAGGATCATGGTCTGCTGCTGGTGCGGTGGTGGGGCAAGCTCGATGAGGAGCGGCAGGTGGAGATCAGGCTCGTATCGGGGGTCTATAGCGGAGAACTCGGCGTGCTGGGAAGCAAGATCGGGTTGTAGGAGGCGTCGAGGGTGGCGTGGATGAGTGTGAGCTGGCCGTCGGCGGCAACCGCGTCGAGGCGCGACAAGAACGGCGGCGCGTCGTTGAGCAGAGACGCGATGGCATGGATGAGGCCCGAGTGGGCAGCTTCGAAGAAGAGGCAGTCGGCGGCAAAGACAAGATCAAAGCGGCCGCCGCACAACGCCACATCGGCCGAGTAGTCTACGGCAGCGTCCCACTCGAGGAGTGCCCCGACGAGCGCGGATGGGTTAGGTGGCGCGTGGCATGGGTGAGGGGCGGAGGGGTGAACTGGGAACAATGGCCTGGATGCGGTCGGCAAGATCGTCGACCATGTCAACCACGCTGTCGCGAGCCGGGGAGTACGGAGCGAGGCCACGCTCGAGGAGGGCGTAGAGAGTGCCGATGCGGGCGACTTTGAGCTCGGGCGTGAGTTCATCGTGTTCCCAGAGATCCGTGAATCGACGGTTGTTCGGGATCTGCGGCGGGAAAGCCACCGCCATGTACGCCAGTAGAGGGTGGCTGGCATCCCGCGGGCCGTCACGCCATGCCGGCGACGAGACGGTCTCGAGCGAGAGCTCAGCGTCGGCAAAAACCGGAAAGACCTTGCAAGTCGGATCAGCGAGGGCTGCGTTGGCCTCTGCGAT